CCCAGTGCTCCTGGTTCCGTCCCATGGGGCCATGCACAAGGTCTTCTACGCTACATGCTAAGAAGCAGCTCAAGAAAGTGCACATTGCTTCAACCCTGGGTGACTAGGAAGCTTAGATTCTCTTCCATCCCACCCGCACCCCAGGGCCACGGCCTGGGTTCCCCAGTGCTCCTTTTAGGGGGCCATTCATCGGCCGGGAATGCGGAGGTGGTTTGCCAGACAGACTGCCCTCAGGGCACCACAGCTGTGACTGAAGGAGAGAAAAGAAGGCTTGGGGCACTACCACCATAGGATAAAGGAAAGGCGACCACGCCAGGCTGCCCGGCCCTGTCCTGGTCTGGCTTCAGCCTCTCCTGCCCCATCTTCTTTCCTGCAATCACCCTTGCTCCCGGTCACTCTTCACTGGCTGCCGCTATAAGCTGGACTTCTACCCACGTCCACCCCCACCCCAGCCTGTGGCTGGTAAAGTGGCTGCCTAGGAGGGCTCAGATTCAGCCCCAGGGCTGGGGGTGCGTAGGAAGGAGCATTCGTATGTAAATGATGGTGTCAGAGTTCTAAAGACATTGGACCCGCTGAGAAAGTTCCCCTTCCCACCTCCACAGGGAACACCCAGGTGGCGAGTCCTCGCTTTCCCTGGCTCTTCTCAAATTTCCTTGTGTTTCCTGATCTGCGTTCATATTGTGTCTCCATGGTAGAATGGAAGTTTGGTTTTATTATCCCCATTTTACAGATGAGGAAACTGAGGCACAGAGCAGTTGAGAAGTTTGCCCATCATCACACTGGCCCTAAGCACCTAGGAGCCCTTCTCCAACCCAAGGTCCATACAGACTGACAAAAAGAAATGGGAACAGAAGTGTTATTCTGAAGGCACTGTCAACACCATCCCATTATAGTCATACTTCCCCTTGTCTCTGCTTCCACAGCTACCACTCCCTCCTCCTCTCGCTCGAGTCAGATTCTCACCTAGACCATTGCAATAGCCATCCAGCTGTTCTCCCCTCCTCAAGCCTCTACCCACTTCAATCCACCCTCCCTTCCACTGTCAAAGTGATTTTCAGAAAGCACAAGTCTGACCATGTCACCTCCCCCCCCCCAATAAACTCCAGTGGCTCCCTACTACCTCCAGGATCAAATATAAAATCCTTTTTTGGGGGGGATGGGGGAAGGGAGGGGGTATTGGGAGCCCTTTACCACCCAGCCCATTCCAACCTTTCCAGGCTCCTTATTTGTTACTCCCCTCCACAAACTCTGACCTTGTTGCTGTTCTTAGAACGTAACACTCAATCTCCGATCTCTGCTTTTCCTGTGGCTGCCCCCGTGCCTGGAATACTCTCTCCTCTACCCCTTCTTCAGGACTCCCAGGCCATCCTCATGTAGCTGGCTATGCTCCTGTGCTCCAGTCTCTACACTCAGGCATGGCAGTCCAGCTCAGACTGTGGGATACTGGGCATGCTGGCCCCTGCCCCACCATGCTCCCCACACTTCTTCCTGTTATTCAGCCCCACTGTACTCATACTTGCCTGCCTCCTACTCCTATCCCATGCCTATCCCATTCTTGTTGGGAGTACAGGCATCTGATAAACATCCTTGCCTCTGCCACCAATGACACCTGACTGATTGCTGCAGATAGATAGCAAGAGCCCTGGGAGGGGAAGCAGCCTCTGGGCCACCAGCTTCCAGAGCGGATGTCACAGCCCTCATGGAGGGAAGCCCACTTATTGGACATTCAGCTTGGCAATTATTTCTGCAGGTGCTGAAGTTCCCCACTCTGACTGCAGCCACAGCTGCTGAAGACCTGGGGCAAAGAAAGCTCTCCCAAACAAGATCCTTGGCACATCGAATGGTTTCCATGGGGTTTTATCAGTGAAAATGATACTAAAGAAGATGTGCTACCACCAGTCTTTCTGCTGCACCCTAAGGATCATGGAACCTTTCCATCTGACTTGTAGTGGAAACCTCTTATATGTGTTTTCTCTCTGTATTAGAGTGTGAGATCCTTGAAAGTAGGGGATGCCTTGCTTTCTTGTTTGTATCTCAGCATTTGACAGTGTTTTTGTACATGGTAAGCACTTAATAAATGCTTCTTCCTCCCTCATTCCCTCTCTCCCTCTCTTCTCTCCTCCCTTTTCTCCCTTCCCCCTCCCCCCCCTCCCCCCCCCCTTTTTTCCTTCCTTCCTTCCTTCCTTCCTTCCTTCCTTCCTTCTTCCTTCCTTCCTTCCTTCCTTCCTTCCTTCCTTCCTTCCTTCCTTCCTTCCTTCCTTCCTTCCTTCCCTTCCTCCCTTTCTATTGTTCACTCACTGTAAGGATGTATCAGTTAATCACCTTAGGACTCCACTCATCACACCTGACTTCCCAGACCAAATGCCCCATCCCTGGCTGCCATCCCCTATTAAAAGTAATTTCTTCATGAGCAGAGGCTGTTTTGTCTTTTGTATTTATACTCCTAGCACTTAGCACACAGTGTTTGCCACATAGGCTTCATCAATGCTTTTTCCTACATTCATGCCAGACTTAGCTCAGAGACCAACTCCAGCAGGACTTTCCTGGTCCCTCCAGCTGCTAGAGCTTCCCCCTGCCCCAGCTGCTGGAGCTTTTCCCCTCGACCCCCCCCCCCAACAAGATCACTTTCCATCTATTCTATGTGTACCTTGTAGGTCAATGTTGTGTCTCGAATTAGAATGTGAGCTCCTTGAGCATTGATTCTGCCTTTCTTTCTACCCCCAGCACATACCCCTAGTGCCAGGCACATAGCAAGTACTTAGATAATGCTCTCTGATCTCTTTGATCAGTGGGCTATGCTAAGTAAAGCTTATGAGCTTCCTGTGGTCTAAGCTCTGTGACGCATTGGCATCGATGAATTCTACACCCCCCCCACGTCACACACCACACATACACACACATTTTTGTATTAAAAGACCTAGTGAGAAGTGCAGTTCTGCTCCTGAGGAGCAAAACCCTACAGAAAGTGACCCCTCTCCCACTCCAGGAACATTTCCAAGGTATAGAATAAAATCAATATTTGTCAAGCATCTCTTCCTCTTAGCAAGGTCCTAGGGCAAGCCCTGGGGGTACAAAGACAAAACTGAACCCCAGGCCCTGCCCTTCAGACGCTTACTTTCTACAGGATTACAGAACCCTTCCTGTTCTTTCCTCTAGCCCCCAAGTGCAGACACGTAAAGACTGGTCTTTCAAGTCAATGAAAATAGGGGTCTCTATTTACTATATTTAATATGATGATGATAATAATAATAACTATTAACTGTCACCCAGTGTTTCAAGGTGGACAAAGGACCATGGATTCTGGAAGCCCTGAATTCAAATGTGACTTCTGATGATACTGGCTGTTTGACCAAGGGCAAATCACTTAACCTCTTCTTGTCTCAGATTTCTCATCTGAAAAATTAAGATAACAACAGCATCTAACTCCCAAGGTTGTTGTCAAGAACATATGATATGTTTGTAAAACTCTTGCATATGGTAGGCACTTAATAAATGTGTGTTCATCTAAATCTAGAATCTAAGTTACAGAAGAGCTGCTGATCTGGGGGTGGGGTGGGGAGAGGATTTTCACACTGGGAATTTCCTACACTGATGAAAACAGAAGTTTGGGGTGACCCTCCTGCTCCCAAAGGCCTTTGCTTATTGCAGGGTAGCAATGCTTTGGAATAAAGTTCTGTTCTTTTTTCAGGCTGACATGCTGGAAAGTCTTATTCTCCTACTTCTGTCTTCTCTCCCCCTTCAGACCCCAGCTACTTCCTTTCCCTTCATCCTGACCCCCAATTCCCTGAGCTCTCTGGGGTACTCTCGGGGGTCTGTAATAATTTGATGAACACACAGTGTTACTTTTAGAAATGGGCCGAACTCCAGTTAAATATTTGCCTGTTTAATAAGCAGACTCTGGGACAGCAGTCTCCGTGGGAATGCAGAGAGATAGAGGGAACGAGAGAACGAGAAAGTAAAGGCAAGGACTCCCCAGTCTATACTTAGCAGTAACCGGTTTGAGTTGGCATTTTGATTGTAGGCCACAGAAAGTCTCACTGCTGTGATTTCATTTAAGATCATCCTGCCCTACAATTAAATAAAACTTAGCCTTCCATCCCCCTTCCTTAAGTAGCCCAGTTTGAGGTTTATCTAATAACCTTTGAACTGGGAGAGGAGGAAAAAACTAACCCTCCAGTGAACTTGGACAGGGTCATTTATTTTAAAATTATTAGTATAAAAATATCCCAAGCTCTGATGTATGTCGGAGGGTCCTGGGTGTCAGTGAAAGTCCTGCTTTAAGCTCCATGTTTGCCTCCCTCTGCTTGCCTCTCTCTGAGCACACACACACACACACCACACACACACACACACACACACAATTTTTGTTGGGTCCTTTAAGTTCCTCTGCGGTCCCCATTTTTATTTTAAGCCAGAGTAGTTCCTTTCTATCATTGGTAAATCTAAGCGCAAAATAGTATGTGTTTATTAATAGTCCCCCAGGAAAAACATCCGAAACGCCTTGCTGTCATTTATCTGCCCGGGTTTATGGAAAGGAGTCACTTCTTGGCGTGGACTCCGCCTCCAGACTTTCGGATAGCTTGCCCAGCTCCTTTGCCCTTGGGTGGGGGTAGGAACTTTGGAAAGCTCCATTTAGGTATGGAGCACAGGCAAAGTTTCAGGTCTTAAAACTCTCTTCAAATTGCTATTTGCGCCATCAAGAAACTGACCATTGGCACCTAACTGGTCTACGTGACACTTCGCACCCCTTAAGGCACCCTGGACAGGGCTCCCTTGTCCCTAGACCCAGCCCAGGTCAGTCTGGTGGGGAATCTGCCTCCGAAGGCATCCGGGCTCCCATCCAAAGACGAGCCAAGAGCAAAGGCAGCCCCTTCCTCCTCAGGCTCGCGCCATGGTCCAAGTGCTGACTCCTTTGCCAAATTTGCCTGACAGCAACCTCTCCCCCTTGTCTCTCTCCTCCTCCCCTCAAACATCGCGTTCCCTAACTGGGTTGGACTCACCCTCTTCCGAGTCCTTCTTGTCCTTTGAAGGCAGGGTCTGGAGGTCAAAGGCATCCTGGCTCATGTCTGCAGCTCCCAGCCAGAGGGATGAGGGGGCTCCAGGGACTAGGTGCCTTCACGCAGCCTCGAAATTCAGCGCTACCCTCCCCAGACACTGTGGCCCAACCGTCTGTCCTTCGGCCAGGCTCCGGCGGCCGGCCAAGCAGGGAGGATTAGAAAGGACTGGGAGTCGCAGCGCGCCGAACTGAGCCCTGAGCGGAGCCGGCCCCTCCTCCGGAGCCCCTGGGGGTGGGTAGGCAGGAGGCGCTCCCGGCGACGCCCACTCCCTTCCTCCCTCTGCTCCCGCTCCCGCTGCTCCCTCTCCCGCTCCCCCTTCCCCCCTTCCTCCTCCTCCTCCTCCTCCTCCTCCTCCTCCTCCTCCTCCTCCTCGTCTTCCTGTCCCTTTCCTGGGTACCAGGCACAGCGGGGCGCACACCTGCGGATGATGCCCTGACCCCGCTCCTCCCATGCCCTCCTCCCCCTTGCAGCGGGAGAGGCCGCTTTAAGTAATTGGTGACTGCTGCGCGCCCGAGGGTCTCGGTCGCTGGACTCCCTCCGCTCCTAACGGAAGGTGCGCGGGGTGCGGTGGGACAGACCGAACCTCATACGCGACGCGGCGCCCCACCAGACAAAGCAAAGCTGTGCGCTCTCCGAGGGAGCCCCTTCTCCTCCCCTCTCCTGCCTTGAGCTGCCCTTGGCCTCCCTTGGGCTTCTCAGGGTGCCCTGGCATCGCTCCTTGCCTAAGTTCTAAGTTCATCCCTGGCCCCCGGTCCGTGGAACAGCATCGGGGGAGCGCCTGGGATTGGGGCTGGGGCACGGAAGAGAAGAGCCTGGGCATGGAGGCGGGGATCGTCCCTCAGGACCTGCAGCTTTGTAATGAGGACCTCCGATTCTCAGCCCCGCCCCCCCGCCCCCAACGACGGTAATAAGAGGCTCAGCATGGACGGGGAGGGGGGGCGGGGGCGTCCCTGAAGGGCAGCAACCTTGTCCCTAGAACCCCTGACTCAGTCCCCCAGGACAGAGCTAGTGGACAAGTGGATAGAGCACTGCGCCTGGAATCCAGAAGACCTGAGTTCAAATCTTACCTTGGACATATGCCAGCTGTGTGACCTTGGGCAAGTCACTTAACCTTTATTTGCCCTGGTTTTCCTCAACTGTAAAATGAAGATAATCAGAACACCGGCCTCGAAGGGTGGTTGTGAGGATCAAATGCGCAGGCTTAGCACAGCTCCTGGAGCACGTGCTAGGCTGATAGAAAGGCGTATTCCCTTTCCTTCCCCTCTCCTGGGTGTGACAACGGAATCGCACCCCTTGGAAGTGGGGCAAGGTGAAGCCTGGGCATGGGAGGGGAGCGTCCCTCAGGGCACTTCAGCCTCGTTTCCGAAATTCTCCCCCAGCATGGAGGCAGCCCAGTAGAGCTGGAGCTGTCTCAATTTCCCCCGCATGATTTTCCTCTAAGAGTGTCTGTTCTGACTGAGTGAGAGGGGAGGTTGGCTGGGCTGATTTTTGAAAGGTGCATTTATTCTGCCGGGGCCATGGATTTCCTCAGTACTTTGGCTGACAAGCCTAAAGAGGTGGCCAGTGTTACCCAGCTTATGTTCTAGAACAGAGAGGAGGTGTGTTTTAAGGATCAGTGTCACACAGTGGTGGCTGGGGACATTTGGAGCCAGGGGTCTCTACGTTAAAAGTTCGGATGGACAGTGAGAACCCTCATCTCCCCATCCTTGTGTGCAATATGGCTCCAGGTAAGAGAGCAGCCCTAATCAGAGAGGGTCACTTTTAGCTTAGGATGGGCAGGCTGATGGGTGTCACACTCCAAGACCTCAGCGCTGACCTCCGTTGTCCTCTTTCTCCACTAACAGAAGCACCAGTCAGTGTACTAGCATTTCTTAGCACCTAGAGCACTGCAGGACCCCCCCCCCAATTATTCTCCTTAAACCATCTTTTCCCTCTCCATGGCATCCTCTACAAGCTGCCAGAGGTGACACAGGTTGGACCTAAAGCACAGGTTGGACCAGGTCACCTCTGCTCCTAAAGTTCCAGGGGCTCCCTCTTACTTCCAGGGCAACGTAAAGGCCTCTCCTTGACCTTCAGAGACCTTCCCCAAAAGGTCTAGTCTATCTTCCTGACCCCTCCCTCACTGCACCTTACTGTCCTTCATGCTCATGATCTCCTTCAGTCAGCCTGCCCTGCTTGGTGGTCCTTTGACCCATCATTTCATCAGCAGTCTCTGTGACCAGGCACAGACTGCTCCCCCCCCACCCTCATTGCAGTCTCTCCTCACCTCCACCTTATCAGTCTTAACTTCCCTTTAGGCTTCATCTCTCCCAGGGGTCCCCCTTCTCCCCACCCCTCCCAGGTGCCACTTTGGATTTCCTCTGGATATCTCGTAGATATTTGCTTCCTGGTTTTTGTGTTGCACTCTCAATAGAAAGCAAGCCTTTCGAGGGCTGGCTGTCTTCATTTTTGTTCTTGTTTCTTTATGCCTGGTGCCTACTGAGCACTTATGGAATGCCTTTTGGCTATTGGACTGCCTCCCCACACAACCGAGGGGCTCCCAGGGCTGGGGCATCCGGGTCCTTTGGAGGAGTGGAAGGGTTATTCGTTCCCTAGTCTCCTTAGCTTGTGAAACCAACAGTTTTGAAAAGTCTCGTGGGCCCAGTCAGGTTGGTGGCCAGAGAGAGCAAGCAGCTAGTTACAATAAAAAACAAAACAAAACGGGGCAGGGGGGTTGGATAGAGGAAGTACCAATGAAGGCGCCTCCTTGTATATCCATGAGACCCAAACAAGTGACACCCCCAGATAAATATAATAAATCCAGACCCAGGACTGCCTTCAGCCCAGCATCAGGCAAGGAGCTGACCTCAGGCCAAGCTTCCCAATGGACAAGAGCAGCTGATGGTAAATGCCATTCTAAAGGTCGCTGTGGCTCATCCCCAGAGGGGAGCCGGGATGTCTTTAGAAGAACCCCCACCCCCATGCCGCAGGAGGCAGAGCTCATGGAGGTTCTTGGCCATCTGCAGGCTGCCCTGGGCCAGGCAACCATTACTGAACACTGGTGCCTGAAGCCAGGAACTCCATAATCCTAGCCATCTAAGGATGGGGAACAAGACTGTTTGAACATGAAGGGAGCTGCTGGAGGGGTGGAGGGAGGGGGATATACCCAATGCCTTTGAAAGCAAGTTCTACTAAAAACACAGCTTTTTAGCGAACCCTTCTGGCACCTTGAGCCAGGCTATGCTACTGGCCTGCTCTGGATGACATTAACTAAGACGGATTTGGATTTAGAGCTGGAATAGATTTGAGGTCACTGGGTCCATCATTTCACTGATGAGGAAACTGAGGCTCAGCACCTAGCACAAAACTTAATCAATACATGCTAGATGGTGCCATGGATAGAGCTCTGACCTTGGAGTCAGGAGGACTTGAGTTCAAATCTGGCCTCAGACACTTGACCCTTACTAGCTGCGTGACCCTGGGCAAGTCACATTGCCTCACAAAAAACAAAACACATGTTCTTATATTAGCACAATGCTCAATGAAGACTTGCTTGATGAAAAGCCAATGATTCTGCCAATCTCATACTCCTAGTAAGTGATGAGTCTTGCTTTTTTCACCCCCTTTCACCCCCTACCCCACGTGCAGACTGAACACATAATATTGTTGTTGTGGATCGGGACTGGACTGGTCATTTCATTGGCAGCAGGAACTCCCAGGTGAGGAAATTCTCTGCACCAATGCAGATCGGCAGTTTTTCTGAACTTTCAAGTTTTAGACAGCTGCCTATAGCCCTGAGAGGTAAGTGACTGCCCTGGGTAACACACAGTCAGCATGCATCGTTGGATGGATTTAAACTAGAGTTTTCCTGTCACTAAAGATGGTAATGTTAACGTATAGAGAGAAAGAGGCCGACTGAGAGGGACGATCTAATAAGATGAGAAATTGTGGGAACCGGGGCTGTGAAAGCCAGAGAAGCAAGTGATTAAATCGAACATATTCTAGGGTCCTACTGCATGCAAGCCCCTGCTCGAGCCTGCAGTCAGCTCCCTGGAGTCAGGTCCTAGGATCCTCTTGTAGGTGGGGACCTGGAGGTGGCAGCAGTACAAAGGTAGGAAGCACCAGAGTAGGAACTGGAAAGAGTTCCCCTGACTCCAGTCACTCCCTCTGTGCCTCCACTTCCCTTAGCTCTGGGGCAAGAAGCCCTGGCTCCATTTTCCTAAGCGTTGGCATTTTTAAGTGTGCCAGAGTCTCAAAATGCTTCTTTCTTCCGTGACCAAGATTTCGCGGGCCCCTGAACATCTGCAGGAAGGAAAAAATCAATGTACTCTCTATATTTAGGAAGCATGGGCTTTTTTTTTGCCATCCTGATTTTTGGTGCTGGCTGTCCTGGCACCCACCAAGACAGAAATGATTCTGGGTCAAGCCTGAAGGGGCCCTGGAGAACTGACTTAATAAGAATAACTTATCTCTGAATATGCAGGCTTCCTTTAAGTCCCAACTAAAATCCCCCCTTCTCTAGGAAGTCTTCCCCAACCCTGCAGAATTCCAGTGCCTTCTCTGCATTATTTCCTATTTATCCTGTATGTAGCTTGCTTTATCTATATTTGTTTGCATCTTGTATCTTCATTAGATTATAAGCTCCTTTAGGTTAGGGACTGTCTTTTGCCTTTGTTTTTTGTTTGTGTTTGTTTTATGCCCAGAGCTTACCCTAACACCTGGTACCCAGTGTACTAAACATTTTACACTTATAATTCCGTATAATCCTATAGGGGAGGGAGGTGCTATTATTATCACCATTTTACAGATGAGGAAACTGAGGCAAATAGGTTAGATGACTTGCCCCAGGATCACACAGCTAGCAATCATTGAGTGTCTGAGGTAGGATGTGAACTCGAGTCTTCCTGCCTCTAGTCTCAGTGCTGTATCTACTAGTTGCCTCTTAACTGGAAGGTACTCTAGATACCACCTCATTTAATTTACTCATTTGCAGAGATCCAGGTACTCTAGGCCATCCAGGTACTAAGTAAACAGACTGCTGGAAATTGGAATTTGGTCTTTGAGCTCATGTCCCCATGACTTTTCTAGAAGCTACTGAACTCTTTCATAAAGAGGCCACTAGAATTTTGACCAAGAAATCACACAGTTGGGAACTGTCTTATTCTCCTCATATAGAATCCATCACCCAGTCAGGAGTCTGTCCAATAGAAGATGGCATC